TGCTTATTCAGAAATACATCCGAACTTCTGGGATTCGAACCCAGTATCGTTCGCTTCAAACGCCATCACGTTATCCACTTAGCTACTGAGCCCTGTTAACCATCTGCTTGTGCGTTGTGGTGAAGTTTAAATTCACTTGGTATTGTTCACTTGTATCTTCCCATTGTTATTGCAGGTACATATGTAGTGAACGTGAACAATTGTGGGGACAATTGAATGCGTATTACGCTCATATGATTTTGAGATGCATTTGAATAGAAAACTACACAATATCTCAGTAAAATCTGAGAACCATACATTAAATACTTCATTCACGAAATGTCAATCAATCTTCTCAGACTTCACTGGACCTTCATTTCCAAAGCAACCCTTCTCCGTTCTAGTTTTCTTTTCTCCGATCTTCTAAACTTTCTGCTTCCGAACATTTCATTTTCGATTGATGATACATACTACTTATATCTGTCGACATCAGTATCACAAACCACACATCCATCTAACGAGTCTAAAATAGGACGAAACACGTGTCCTGAATTCCAGTGTTAACTATCATCCGTCTTTGATCATTCACTTAGATTTTTGTAAACGTTTTGAAAATCTCCCACACCGTATGATCGAAATCGACCTAATTCATTAACTAGTTAGAAAACGTTTGGACAGAACTAGAGTCTTAAATGTAGTCAAAGGAGTAGACAATCAAAATAAATATACGAACAACGATGGGTCAACAAAAGTAAAACTCATCAAGATCAAGATTGACAGAACAAGCTGTATATCATACGTGGAGAAATTCGATTACCTCACCTCTGATTGAACTTTATGCTAATGATGCTATACAGAAGAACAATGATAAATTCACGAATAAACTGTTCAACTGAGAAAACGAAACTTCATTATAATCGGACATATCATTTTACAAACTTCAGATAATTACTGTCTTTTCCTCTGTATATATTTCAGATATCAATGAAGATACATAGCTGGTTAGCGTTTTTTGCAGCAAGAGTTTGTCTGTGGGATGGGGTTGCTGAACTCATGCCAAACCCTCATCCTTTACCCAGGTTTGGGACCGGCAGTAAATCTAGAAGAGCTATAGGTGGAGTTGAAGGTATATATGCTTAACGTACTACATTTTTTATGATGTTTATTTTCTAATGAAATTACATATTGGTATTACAACTTTTCATTTACCAGTATGTAATGTGATGAAGATACAGTTGTAAGCTAATGAGGCAAAACCATGAAATAAAATGAATTTATGCTATTTTACTTCACTTCTTAATTTGATTAAAGGCAACTAATAGTTAGATCACTATATTGTTAGGAATTAGACTGAGTAAAATCAATAACATTTAACTATCAGTATGGGATTGAAGAGATTATTAAGTTTTTTGATTGAAACCAGGAATCGATTGATGTTAGACTATCCTGTTGTGGGACTCTTCAGCACTGTGTATCAGCGGTCCTGCTAGCGAGATTCGGACCCAAGGCTTTCGGTTTCAAGCACGAATGCTTAATCTCTAAACCACTGAGCCAGCATCCAGTGGTGTTAATGTCTTGCTACAACCAATTCACAAAACTGCGCGACCATCATTCATTGTACTGAGGTATATACCTGTCTCTACCTGATATGGATTAGCTCCACCGGTCACGACTTCTTATTAGAACTCAGAGAATTCCCTCACAAAGCTAGTCACTAGTGAACACATGGGGTTCAAATCCAGAGAGCTGGATCGTTGATGTGTACAGCTGAGGAGTCCCACAATAGGATGAAATGAATGTCCAATGCTTCTAGGTTTTCAATAGTGGTCCAACATCAACTGATTCATGATTTCAATCAAAAATTAAAATCTAATTTTGAGGAATTATTGAAAGATGTTTTAATTATAAATTCAGTAATAGTAATAACATATAATGGTTTAACTTTTCTAAAAAAAATTATGTATTTAATAAAAGTGTCATTCAACCTTAAAGAACAAAGAATACATTACGCCGAGAAATAGAGATAGATATGCGAAGAATGAACAACAATTGAATAGCACTAGACAGGAAAACCAAGGACAGGATGGATTGGAGAATGTTGGTCAGTGGACTATGCTTCATCTGGTGGTAACAAGTGTAAGTAACTATTTAAGGCACGTAGCTAGCAGCTCGTTTTATGTATATGCAAACAATTTGATATCACATGATTCCCCTCATTAATCTAAATGTAAAGAGATTTTGAAAGCCATTTTCTCTTTTAAATCTCTCTTTTCTACTGTCTTGTTTTCAATGACAGATAACTCTTAAATTTATCATACCATGTGACACCTTCTAAACTAAACTGTAATAATTGGTATTTTGGTATCAATATGGAGACTACCCTAAACAATATGAATTGAATGTTGATGTAGAAGCTATTGGAATCAGATAATCTATATGAAATGATGAGTATGATTCTTTTGATGATAAACGAACTGGACTCAGTCAATTTCCTTCTCTCTACGTATTTTCATTTATTGTAACAGAACAAGTGAAGTAATTTAGAAAACTGAGAACCGATTTTATGATGGAAATGTCCAGCTCCGTTCTACTTATCTGACGTTTTCGGAGTTGATCCTCGGTGAGATCATGGGAGAGAAATGTTCATGCATGTCATACTAGGCCGAAACGGACAAACAATATTTCTTGATTTTCAATTATTATTTAGGGAAGTCAGTTGAGGATATGAACTACGATTTTCGAAATGGGAAACCGATTCCTTGACGAAATCACGTTTTTAAATGTTAGTTGGATATGTATTTGAAATAGACACACCAATTATATCAGTTTGTACAATAGTATTTCAATATTGATGATACAACAATGAATCGGTTGGTGGTTTCTTATCTTCAAATATCTGTCTTTGTATGGATCGATCGTGTACAGACTAAATTAGGTCACTACGGCTCATCGTCGAACAATTACCTGAATTGAAATCGTCACTATACATCAACATCCTTGAGAATGAGGAAGCGTTTGGCAGTATGGACAGGAAAACATTATGGAAAGCTTCCTTGACACAATGGATTTCCTGAAAGGATTATCAACATCATCCGGAATTCATGGGTCGGTTAACGATGTGGGGTAAGTGAAGTAAGTAGGTAAGTAAGTAAGTAAGTAAGTAAGTAAGTAAGTATGTAAGTAAGTAAGTAAGTAAGTAAGTAAGTAAGTAAGTAAGTAAGTAAGTAAGTAAGTAAGTAAGTAAGTAAGTAAGTAAGTAAGTAAGTAAGTAAGTAAGTAAGTAAGTAAGTAAGTAAGTAAGTAAGTAAGTAAGTAAGTAAGTAAGTAAGTAAGTAAGTAAGTAAGTAAGTAAGTAAGTAAGTAAGTAAGTAAGTAAGTAAGTAAGTAAGTAAGTAAGTAAGTAAGTAAGTAAGTAAGTAAGTAAGTAAGTAAGTAAGTAAGTAAGTAAGTAAGTAAGTAAGTAAGTAAATAAGTAAGTAAGTAAGTAAGTAAGTAAGTAAGTAAGTAAGTAAGTCACTTAACCTCTTAATATGCTTAACATCTACGAATAAAACAATGAGAATATAAGACATAAGTAAACGGGGTAATGCAATAATAATAATAATAATATTAATAGTAATAATAATGGGATAATCAAAATAATTAAGGCCGAGGTAACGATAACGATAAGACGTACTTCTTTTGTACGCATAGTTCTGGTTTAAGCTCCTGGATGGTAAGAGCTTCGGCTATTTTTAAGAGTTGGATACGAAGAAATCTGGGTAGATTTGAACGAATCATATAAACAACCTTAAAATCAATTTGTGGATCTGTAGAATGGTTATAGTCGATTAGGTGTTCAAGTATAGAACTCCTAACTGCTTTCCTTTCATCCTTATAGAACCAAGCTGGGATATGTTCCCGTATCCGAATTGAAAGCGAGCGCTGGCTACGGCCAATGTACCTTGCTTCACAAGAGCAGGTGAACTGGTAGATGCACATGGAGGCGACCAGGGGTGGAAGCTTATCTTTTATGGATACAAAAAATAAGTTCCTACTAGTGAAGGTTATTCGCAGTTTTGTCGCGTTAAATGTTCTTCTAATAGTTGTTGTTAGACGATTTTTGATTACGTCTGATGTTCGATCACCTTTAAATTCCAGACTTATATAAATGTTTTTCTTCGGGACAGAACAACTAGATTTCTTGTCGTAACTACTTCTATTCATATTCTTTTCTATGAACCGTTCTGAATAACCATTTTCCATCAAGGTTTTCTTGAGAAATGCGAGTTCTTCGTTAATGCATTCCGTACTGCATATCTGATGTGTTCGATAGCATAAAGAATGGATAAGGTTTCTCTTCCTACTTAACGGAACCCAGCTATAGAAGTTGGTAAACTGGCCATTCCATGTTTGTTTCCTAGAGATGGATCTTTTTAAAGAACCATTACTCTTTCTCATCAGACGTACATCGAGAAAAAGAATTGATTGATCTCATTCCCTTTCTAACGTGAAGTCTATGGAAGAGTGGCATGAGTTAAACGTGTGTAAAATATTATTTAAATCAATATTATTGTCACAAACGACAAACATGTCGTCCATGTATCTGACGTATAGGTGGAATTGATTGATCATTGAACGGAGTTGGTCGTTTACTATTTTTGCCATGAAACAATTTGCTAAAATTAGACCCAATGGAGATCCCATTGCGATTTATATTTTATATTCTATATTCTCTTATATCTGTACTGTTAATAATATTGAATAAGAAACAAAAAAAACAAACAAACAAATGATATGATGTAATAACAATATAATGTAATGTTATGCAATGATATTCATTTGAAATATGAAAAAAAAGGGACACCCCTCCCCCAATGTTAAATGATTTGTCATTGGATATTAAAAGTAAATAAATAAATAAATTGTTTATTTTAAATAATTTAATCAATAATGATCAATTTTATTGGAATGATATTGATTTAATTGTTTGTTTTTTTTTTAAGAAAAAAACATTTTTTTCTTTTCTTTTTTTTCTTCTTCAATAGAAAATATGAAAACATTGAGATTTTCTTTCAACAACATTCAAGAATGTGTGGATCTTTTCCATGAGATGATCTACGTATCATCCAAATTGAAATTATTATATAAATAATTTTAATTATTGTAAATATAAAACATAAAGCCAATATTCCATCGATATATTTATAAGTGTAATTATTTAATACTTCAGCACAACCCTGTGAATTGGATAAAAGATGGAGAAGAAAAAGAGAGAAAAAAGGTTTTTTGATAAATTAATAAAGATGGAATTCTAAGTAGGATATTCTATATTCATGTATACATGAATGGTTGATTATTGTACAAAAAACTAGATTAGATTGATGAAGTTACAAAGTGTTTTTCATATAGAGATGAAATTTCAATGAGTTCTCTATTGAATCCTATCTTGGCTGATTGTTTTATGGCCAATTTAGAAAATTCGGTACTTTGACCAATAATTAAGAGATTTCATTTACGAGTTGAAATCATGAGTCAACTGAAGCTAGACAACCATGGAAAGTCTGAAAGTACTGGACGACCGTTTCGTTCTGGTATGGGACTCCTCAGCAGTGCGCATACATAATCCCGTTGCCCCCGCGAGATTTGAAACGAAGACCTATTAGTCTCACGCGCGAGCGCTTAACCATTAGACCACTAAGCCGGCCGGCATCCAACGGTGTTAAGGTCTAACTTCAACCAATCCACGAAATTGCATTTATATAAGAGATATATGAATGGTACTTTTATTGTTTGTGAATTTTGATTAGTTTCAATAATTGTCACCCCTTAATTCATTATTATTTTCTTTATTATTCTTGTCTCCTCTTACTCTACATTTTTAGACTAGTTGACTTAACAAGTATATTATGTGTGATTAGATTATTCGAAATGTATAGCCCTCATATATATCAATATAGTTCTGATAATCTTTGTCTACTTATTACTCTATAGAAACTGAATCACCTTAAACAAACTGATAATCTGAAAAATTCCCATATTGTAAATTTAGAACAACATTGATATAAGCGATTAATATTGTTTTTGATTAAATCCTCATCAAGCATTTCTCTAATATACATTAATATTTATATGTATATACGAAATTATTAAACCAATCAAGGTAGCTTATGAATCAATGATAACAATGGAAACAGTTACATAATATATTAGAGTAAAGCCTGATGAAGACCTAATCGAAAACAATATTGTTCTAAATTTACAATATGGTAATAAGAAGTGTTCAGATAATTGAACTGTGAAACGTATATTTTAGAGAAAATAAAATAAAATAGTAGAAGGGGGTGGAGAAAAATAAGGGAAGAAAGAGTATGGAAAACAATAATAAATAAAATTATTTATTAAGGCCAAGGGAGAGATAAGGGTGTTACAAATTTCTTATGAATACAAAGACTTGGATTGTTAGCTCGAATTGTTATAGCTTCTACTATGTGTAAGAGACGAGATCAAACACCATAAGGAAAACTAGTAGGAATATGATAAATAACTTTAAGTGACTTATTTCTGTCTACTACATGAACGCTATCGATCAAGTGTGATAGAACCAAGCTGCGTATTGACTTGATAGTACCTTTTCCTAATCACGAAGGGAGGTGTTCGCTAAATCTTTGGTTCAGTTGTCTGGCATTGGGCCCAATATAGCTTCCTTCATAGAAGCAGCTGAATTCGTAAATACACATAGAAGTGGCAAAACCAGTTAACTTATCCTTTATTTCGGGAATCACCATAGATCGGGTCGAGTACGATAGACAGAGGTTGGCTGCATTAAATGTTCTCATAAACTGCCTTGATTGTTACAATAATTTCGTACATGCACATAAATATTAATGTATATTAGAGTGAAGCCCGATGAGGATCTAATCGAAAGCAATATTGTTCATTTGTATTTCTTGTTCTAAAGTGGTAATCATTAATAATAATGATAATAATAACTCCAGTGTGTATTGTATCTTGTAATAATGAATCTGACATTTAGTAAAATGTAACATTTAACCAAATACAAAATTTTCTAGGCTGAATGATCACTGAATAGAATATTATAACAAAATCTCTCGGTATTGTTTGCTTGTATCTTCCCATTGATATTCAGGAATGTAATTAATCAGTCTCTTATTGGCATAACTGCTTCGTGTGCATATTGCCTCGATAATGCCTTAATTCACAAGCATTATTAATAAGTGAATTTAAACTTCACAACATTGCACATGCAAGTGGCTATCAGGACTCAGTATGTAAATGGATAATGTGATGGCGTTTGAAGCGAAAGGTACTGGGTTCGAGTCCCGGAGTGAACATCAACTCAGATGCAGATACATCCAGCTGACGAGTCCCAAATAGGACGAAACGCGTGTTCCACTGCTATTCACTATCCATGTTTGCTGATTGATATATTCTAGTAGTTATTGCTTTGTTGTTCCCTGCTCTCTGTTTTCATTTTATTTTCTCTAATTGTAAATAATTATCATTAATTCTTTCTGGCACAGGAAATAACCTTAAATACACCATTCATAAATCAACAAGATTTCCATTTAAGAAAAATCAAAAGTTCCCAGCTGATTTATTGCATTGCTATAAAATACATGTACTAGCTAAACAATTACTAAACTAGTAAACTTAAAACATCCAATGTTACTATTTATATCAAATTGATCATGCTTGTAAACTGGTGTGAATTATGTTATCATAATTTTCAGAATATATTGTTATGATAAGCAATGATGGATGGTGACTAGCAGTGGAATCCACGACGCTCGTTTCGTTCTATTTGCGACTCGTCACCTGGATGTACCTGCATCTCAGAGTTGATGTTCACTCTGGGACTCGAAGCCAGTGTCGTTTGCTTCAAACGCCATCGCTTTATCCACTTAGCTACTGAGTCCTGATACGCACTTGCTTGTTCAAATTCACTTGGTATTATAATCTTAATACATGTGTGAAATTTATTCAAACTGTTTACTTTATCATAATTATGAAGATTTAGATTGCACTTAAACAAATTTATACAATTTAATGAATTGACTTACCACTGTATAAATAGTTTCATTATTTTTACAACTTGCTGGTAAAGTATCATTAGTTCTTCGATAATCTGTAAACATTGAACTTCCACAACATTTATACTACAGGTGAATATAACAGCAATGTATACAGTCAACTTACATTAGTTTGTAATCGTTCGAATTGTTCATGATATAATGGATGTATATCATAATAATTCAATGAATCCATCAATGTATAATTAGCATTTGTTATGAACTAGATTATAATAATAAATAAAATTAGAATGAATTAACCATACTTCATTTGGTGTCATTACTGTACCTAATGATATACATAATTCAGTAATTGTTGCTATAGTCATACAAGTGATATGCTAAATACAATAGTATATTAGTTATAACGAGTTAGTTACCAATATAATAACAATTTGATTTGGTTTCATTATTTTATAATAACCAGTAATTGAACCAATTATACCAATAAATCCTGTAAATATAATCGTTGGTAATATAGGTGGATTAATTCCTTGTAATATTGTCTTGAATTGTCCCAAATCATCTTGTGCTTTAATACCTAATGCAAATAAAATGATACTATATACCTAAATATAATGATGAATAATAATAATAAAATAGGATTAAATCAATATATGATTAGTTACCAAGAGAACACCATTTAAAATAAGAAATAATCGATTCCATCCTTGTTCACTTAGTGATAATTTCATATTGTTCAATCTTGATAAATATTCAGATGAATTAACTTTAATTTTGTTAATGGAATGAAATAATTTTAATCAAATTCAATAATGAATCAAGTTTTAATTTAAAAAATTTTTTTTATTATTTCTTAATTGATATACATGTATCTATGATTGTGTTTATGTGTTGGCTTGGTAACTAATGCACATCTTGTCAAATCAAATAATCACTGATATAATATTCTCCTGACATATAAAAAACATGAATATACCTTTTCATATGTTAGTATAATAGTATCTATCTATCTATCTATCCATCAATTAGAAACCCCTTCTGAAATTAGAAATATGTAAAAAAAACTTTTTTTTTCATTTCGAATATGTATGTATTTCTATTTGTATGTGTCTAACAATCTGATAAGGTGTTATGACTTAGATGGTGGTTGGAGGTAGTCAACAGGAAACCCTGGACCCGGGTTTCGTGCTACTTGGTTTCCTGTTGACTACCTCCAACCACCATCTAAATCTCAATACATAGTGCCCGCAGTGTCGAGTCACCTAGACTGGTGGCCACATTGCAACATGATCGATAGCATTCGATCTGCACTAATAAGGACTAGACAAGCATGACATTGATCACCACCCAGTGATCAATCAATTGTGAAGGTGTTATGACGTATACCTATCAGATAACAATTTATATTGTATGAAGATGCAATTTTGAAAATTACCACAATCAGAAGGGGTTTGTGGAGAGTTTAAAAATTCCACAGATTGAAATCATGAGTCAATTGAAGCTAGACCACCATGGAGAACCTGGAAGTACTGGACGGTCGTTTTTTTCTAGTATGGGACACCTCAGCAACGCGAATCCACAATCCCGCACTTCGCCAGATTCGAACGCAGGACCTATCAGTCTCGTGCGCGAGCGCTTAACCAACTAGACCACTGAGCCGGCATCCATTGGTGTTAATGTCTAACTTCAAACAACCCATGAAGTTGCGCTACCGTATACCCTTGTCTTCAGTGAGCTGATATCTCACAACAGACCTGGTTGAACTCCACTGGTAACGACTTCTTACTAGAACTCCAAGAGTGTCTGCTGAGGAGTCCCATACTAGGACGAAACGGCTGTCCAGTGCTTCCAGGTTTTCCATGGTGTTTTAGCTTCAGTTGACTCATGATTTCAATCTGTGAAATTACCACAATCGTCATTAAACTAGTACTGTCTATGTAAGATAATCATTGTTGGTGGACCGGATACTATAAGCTACAACTTACTGTGAAAGAGAACAAACCAACTTTCATCTGAAAAAAAAGTTAGGAAAGAATATCGAAAGTGGTGGGTGGGACATATATTACGGAAGTCATCAAACTGGATCCTGAGGTAAGTATTAATGTGGAATTCTGTAAGGAAACGGAAAAATGGAGGATCAAAGTATCCACTGCGTCAGAAATCGAAAGTAGTCATGAAAAGGATGAATAGCAACTAAAAAACAGCTGATCAGAATTGAACAGGACAGAGTTGGGTGTGGAATGCTGGTGGTCAGTCTATACCCCCTCTACGAGGGGTAACAGTAACTAATGTTTGTATATCTGAATTCAGTAGTTGAATGGAAAACCCGTTCAGTATCTGTGGTAAGTTGGATTGAGTGTGAGCCCTAGTTTAAACGTCAACACAGGGATTCAGGTACATCCAACTGAATAAAATAAAACACATGTTCCGAATTCTACTGCTGACTACGATCACTTCTATAAAAATTATTGGTTTTCTTACCTTTATTTCTTAGTTAACAATAACGTTATCATTTCATTGTCCATAACTAATATGCGCCACACCTCAACCTATAAGTTTGACTGGTGTACATATGTGAAATAAATATAGAATTCAGAATACAATATTATGGTCTATTTTCCCAAAAATCCCATTTGTCAATTTTTATCGTCTAAAATGTAACATGGTTTATTTATATACAGCATAAAATCAAATCATTGTAAGGAGTCATTTAGGTACTGTAAACTATTGCGCCATATAATATTCCTGAGAACAGATTAAAATCAATCAGCTTCATAATTTAGGATATAAACTGTTGACAATTTCACAAATTGAAATAATGCACACTGCTGAGGAGTCCCATACTATGACGAAACGGCCGTCCAGTGCTTCCAGGCTTTCCATGGTTGTCTAACTTGAATTAACTCATGATTTCAATCTGTGAAATTTCTGAAATCTCCATAAACTCCTTCTGTTGACAATTTTTTTTGATAGAACAATAAAAGATGAGGTTGACCTGCATAATGTGATACATTTGCACTACATATATTTCTAATTATCTAATCATACATCTTCTTCTCAAGATACTCATAAAAACCAACGAAAGTCAATTGAGTAAAAGGTTAAATAAACATGACATGATAATTGTAAATATTATGAAGAAAAAAGTACTGATACTCTAAGAGAAGAATAGGAAATTGTCATATCAGCGGTCACCAGGACATATCCAAGGCTATGACAAACCTTTACTGTTTTTGACAGAGTTTTGTTCTCTGAGTTAGATGGTTTGATCGTGGAGCTTTCATTGTTCTTCTGAACGACATCATCGGCACAAATGTTATAGAGGACTAAAAGATGAAGCTTAGAAGGATACTCACGTCAGAACAGTTGGAAATCCTGATAATAGCCATCGAGATATCATGCGAACGACACAGAGAACAAAGAAGAAACTTATCAACTTCTCAAAGCCATCCATGGAAGAGAACACAAACGACTGCGTGGTCAACTTGTCAAAGTAACCACCAACAAACGTTAAACCTTTACTGTGCACGTAAACAGGCTTTGAATAGGCAATAGCCAAGGTTTCTATAAACGTAAAGATTAGCCTTTGGTGATTCGTATATAGCATTTTAAGAGCTGCGTCGATGTTAATTCTAATGAGAAACCATGACCAGTCGAGTATAACTCATACCGGGTGTGTGACAGATATCCACCCTGGGCAATGAAAGAAGGGTTGCGTAAGATCATGGATTGATTAAAGTTAGACAGTAACATCGTTTGATGCCGGCTCAACGATCTAAAGGTTAAGTGATCACACGCAAGCGCGAAGGTCCTGGGTTTAAGTTTCGTGTTAGGGATTGCGGATGAGTACTTATGAGTCCGAAACCAGAACAAACAGACCTTTTTTTCAGGTTTTCATTGATGGTCTGAATTGGACCAACTCTTAATTTCAACTGCGACAATGCTACAATCTTCGAAAATCCTCATACTGATAACAATAATAATTTTTCAACAGGTAAAGTCAGACAGTAATTTCTGATAATTAGTGATAATAATTAATCGTGGCAGTACTTCTGTTTAATATCCTTTTTGGTCATTATCGCCAGCTACGATATAAGAAAATATAGGACACTGGTCTTTACATGATTAAACTCCACCAAAATTTATGAATGAACTCCATAAGCTAGAAGCGCGATACAAACAAACACCTCCTTCAAGAATAAGTATACGAAGGATGGTGATTGGAAGAAAAGATAACAATCAAGTTGTATAGGAAAATGTAGTATGCATTTCAGATGGATACATTTCTGACGCAAAATGTTGTAATCCAATGAATAAACCTTGTTTTTATTTGCATTACTTATGTATGAAGTAGTGTTCCAGTGAATAACAACAATTAGTTCAACAATCATTCATTACAAAGACTTTTTATGCTAAATATTCCATTAGTTTTGAGGTGGTAACAAAGATTTGTAGCTCATATTGATGACTTCTATTGATGATTTAATTCTAAATTTTTCATTGCTTTCTCAACAAAGAAACGTTAGCACATTACTTAATAAAATGTGATTACAAAAGTTTAATAGACTGTTCCTTTGACATTGAAACTCCGCCTGGAGCCTCTGTGGGGCTACTGCCGGTCCCAAGCCTGGATAAGGGAGAAGGGTTGCTCATGGGGTAGGCAATCCCATTCCATAGAAAACTAACTCGTTAAAAACACGCTAACCAGAAGAAATAGTTCAAACCTTTTAAAATATGCCCTGGGAGTTAGAAGGTCATCATTTAGAAGAGTTATGACACCTCATGGTGAAGCCGAGTTCCTTCGGAAGTCACGAGGCCTATGCCTCTTCTGACAACCAGAGAAACCATTTATGAAGGAACTACTTTACAGTGACTTTTGTTCATATGCTGAAAATTTATGGTTTTTATAGCATTTCAGATGGCCTTGGGCATCTGAAAAATTTTAGAATGCTACTAACTACAACAGTATAGGGAATTATTCAATCAGAAATGCAACATGTGACTTTTCAGTTTCTAGATGTTTCTGGCAAAACTCCTATTGAATGCTAATTGAACAACATGGTTCTCGGTGTTTTCAGAGGCTTTTTTGTCTTTTTTTCGAGGAATTTCCTGGATCTCCCCAACACTTGAATAACTAATATTTTTACAAATTGTGAAGAAAAGATTTATTGGCGTCGTTACTAATGAACATTTATTGTAAAAGTGTCTAATGAAAATGTTCTCAGTAACATTTGAATGATTTCATTGATTAATTAGTAAAATTCATAACTAGTAGCGCAATTTCGTGGATTGGTTGAAGTTAAACATTAGCACTGTCGGATGGCGTCTCAGTGGTCTAGACGTTAAGCGCTCACACGCGAGACCGATAGATCCTGGGTTAGAATCCTCAGGGGGGCGGGACCGTGGATGAGAACTGCTGAGGAGTCCCATACAAAGATGAAACGGCTGTCCAGGCTTCCAGGTTTTTCATGGTAGTCTAGCTTTAATGGACTCATGATCGAAACTATTGAAATCTGTATTTCATTTTTTAGACCAAACATCCATTTACAGCATAGCTGCATACTCGCATATTATTGAGTACAATGAACAAGTAATGAATATAAAAACAAAACTGTATATGTAGTGTTTATACACTGATTTATTGATATCACTGAATCTAGTTTTAATTATTTGGATTCAGATTTGTGTAGTAGGGACAGAAGGCTCACGGCCTATGTTATTCCTTTTCTAGTATACTTCTATGAATGTCTGGTCTTCTCTTGAATGAATCAACTGAAGGTAGGGATACCACTGCTTCGAGTGACATATTCCAATAATTGATGACTCAGTGTAAAAACCTGTATGCCACGGGTATTTTGTTCGTTCTTGGCTTTTCTACTCGCCTGCTATGTCCTCTGAGATGTATCAATCTAGTGAAGAGAAAAAGAGAGGATACATTAGGTCCAAAATCATTTCTCAGTATTCTATACATTAAAATCAAATCACCTCTTAATCTTCGATAGGACATAGTAAAGAGGTCTGGATTTTCAGACC